CGCGGAGCGGCTGGGCGCGTGAGCCATAGCCGCTGAGCCTGCGCGTCCAGAGCCTGTGCTCCGCAACGGGAGAGGCCACAACAGTGAGAGGCCTGCGTACCGCAAAAAAAAAAAAAGTAATAGTGTCTATTTTTGTGGAGTTTATAACCTAGGAGAACATACACATGCACATGAAACAACTAGAGAATATAGGATTCATGCTACTTTATGCGGCATTATGTGTTCAGAATAATGTCGAGAGATGGGTTCAGTCAAGAGGGTCTTCCTGGAGGAGGTGTGTTTTGAGTCAGTACTTGAAGGAAGTTATCGATGTAGAATGATAGGGAAATGGCAGGAAATTGGTTGTTTCAAATACAGGGAATGAACTAGGAAAAGCTTAAATGGCAATAATTACCTAACCTAATTAGTAGGGGGGGACAACAAGCAAACTGGCTTGGCAGGCCTATTGTACCTTGGAGATTCTGCAGCAGTTAACTCGGTTAAGGCATAGTGTTAATGAGGTCACAGTTTAGTTATGTATCCCAGTTAATTTCTGTCTTTTATCCGGTCAGATCCTTACTGCTTACTCTAAGCAGCTGTCTCACATGTGTAAGCACTTAGTCAGAGAGGCTGGACAAGAGAGTGGGGTTGGAAAGAGTAAACCTGTCCCTCAAGATCATATGCCCTTCTGAGAGTGGCTCCCAATTATCATCTTCGAACTGGAAGGAGATACTGTATCTTGTTGGGGGGAGGGTTCTGAGGGAAAAAGAAGAAATGTTAAAAGAGAAAAAGAAGTGAGATCATTCCCCAATTTGGGACTTCATGTATAAATAATTTAACATAAGGATTGAAATGCCTTCCTTACAAAATGTCAAATGTAAACCAGAGTTCAAGGGAGGGTTTTGCTCCTTGAAATCCAGAAAATATGGGCTCACACTTTATTTATTAATTTGTTTGTTTATTTTGGCTGCGCCAGGTCTTAGCTGCAGCATGCAGACTTCTTAGTTGCAACATGTGGACCCTTAGTAGCAGCATGCACGCGGGACCTAGTTCCCCGACCAGGGATTGAACCCGGGCCCCCTGCATTAGGAGCGCAGCTGAGTCTTACCCACTGGGCCACCAGGGAAGTCCCAAAATGGGCTCAAACTTTAAAAATCAATCCATATCCAGTGGAATTCTGCAAATGAATGCCAATCTCAAGGAGTGGGAAGAGTTGGAAGGTTTACATCTGTTTTCAGGCCCCTGTTTCTGGACAAGATCTCTCTCTTCCCTACCAATTAGACCCTAAAGGCAACAGTCTAATTATTTCATCCTCCCACCCTAACCCCCACAACACTACTCAGATAAAACTTTCCTGAATGTGGAGAGCATGACTGAAGGCTTATGCTCTAAAGACTAAAGCAGAGGAGGGGCTTGCACTGTAATAACAAAAACATCTTTAAATGCAACAGCAGACGCCACCATTCTTAAAATGTCCTTCCTTTACTCCACTGTGGGAGAATTTCAAGAGCTCTTGTACCCACCTAGATCCAGTCTCTGATTGCTGATTTCTCTCTCTTCTCTCTCTCTCTCTTCTGTTCTCCCCACTTTTATCAAGGGCACTTTTTTTCTCCTTGTATCATGATTGAAAGCAGTGTAGTGACATTTCCTTGCCTGGGTTCAGGTTCCTGCCCATGAGGTCTCACCTCTATCAAGTGCACACTTTTCCAGGCAAAGATGGTTCTCTACCATAAAAGTCAGTCTGGTTCTTCTCACCCCGACTTCTTTCTATAAATATTAAAAGGGAAAACTATGCAAAGTCTTAGCCCAGATCTTGGAACATTAATTTCCTTTCTCAAAGATGCAAAGCACAGCACTAGGTACTATGTGCTATAAAGATGAATGGAACTTCTAACTATAAACAAGGCAGAATATAGTAAAGTCTCTAAGACAGACGTTCAGAAGACCAACGGCATATGTTGTTGACATGACCAAGAAGTCGCTTCTGTGCTTATGTACCAGGTCCGTGACCACAGACTCGGCAAGTAGTTTGCCTAGTGAGCTCGCTCCACGGAGCCATCTCTGCAGCTTCTCAAACACCCCCTCCATCGCCCTTTCTCGCCAGAGGGGTGAAACTACATCTCCCGACAGGCCGCGTGGTCCCCTCCCTTCCCCCCTCTCCAGGTTCCGAGCCATGGCAACGGCGTGACGTGGGGGTACTGGGAGCTGCGGGAGCAGTGGTAGCGGCTTCAGTTCTAGGCTACCCGGCCGCCCGGGCAGGAACAGAGGGAGAGGAGCTACCGCCCAACGCCGCCCCTGCGCTCGGGGACCCTGAACCCGCCCGGCTGCCGCTAACCTCCGCTCTTCCTCTGGAGTGAGGAGTGCGCAGCTGGTATCAGAGCCGAGAGGGCAAGGGAGGGCAGCGCGCATGGCCTCGGCAGGCGCGCGGCGACTCCCGGCCGGGACGCGCGCAGCGGCCAGGGGCTGCAGCGGCCTCTCGCTGCGCCCGGCCCCACCCCCGGTCCCTCCGCGACCGCCGGGACCAGTGAGGTGAGAGGGAGATGCGGACGTCGGGGCTGGAGCTAAAGGGGTCGCCCAGGACCCCGAAGTTGCAGCTCTGGGTGCAGGCACGGCGGGAGGGCGGCTACGGTCATACCTTGGGGTCTAATGTAGAGCTTTAGGGAATGCTTTTGCAAGTTATTCGCGAGGCAAAGTCCTCGAGGTGGGTGCCCAACCACTTCTTGCCCGTCGCGGGTGCCCTGGCAACAGGGGGCTTGGCGGAGTCCCGGGGACTGTGATGCTTCCTGAGAGTCCTCGCTTTCAGCAGTAGGGTAGCCTCCAGTCAAAGACACCTGGCACATCACATGCGTCCCGCTTTTCCCCAACTCCTCCCCCGGCACTGTCCTCCGCCGCCCTCGACCTTTCGCACTCGTGACTGCCTGGCCAAGGGAGCCTGGCGGGCTGCAGCAGGTGCTAGGCGAAAAGCTTGTTTGGACGACATTCCTCTGGGATGCGCCCCTCTTCCGCTTCACCTGGGAATGGTTGAGGAACACAAGGAAAGAATCGTAACGTGTCTCTCCTTTCCTTTTGGCCTTAGATTTCTGATCTCCTGCAGCCTCTTCTTGCCCCGGGCTGCCCAGGTCTTGGCGGCTGAGGCTGGCTTACCTCCCAGCCGTTCCTTCATGGGCTTTGCTGCCCCCTTCACCAACAAGCGAAAGGCTTACTCAGAGCGTAGGATCATGGGGTGAGCATCCCCTCCTGTCCAGCAGCCCTCCACATTCACTTTCTCGCCAAACAAAAAGCATGTACAGGCTGGAACATAAGGGTAGCCATAGTGGGCAAGATCCCTGGCCGTCCCATGCTTCCCAGCTATATTACTGATCCTTTATCCTCCTCTGCCGGCCTTCCAACCTTAATTCCCCCCTTCCTGGTTGCTGTGCATGTGCATTGTGAAACGTGACTAGAGTTGGACAATAACATAAGACAACAGGATATTATTTCTCTGCTGACCTGACTTTAGGTACTCTGAGCACAATATGAGTTAACACTTTACTGAGCACTTACTACTGCTAGCAGTTAGGCTGCTTAGGTGTTTTACCATAGATTTTCTCATTTGATCCTTTCAACAAACTTACGAATCAATTACTATTACCTATGGTTCACAGAGGAGATACGGAGACAGTAATAATTTACCTAGGGCCACACTGTCGTAGAGCTGGGATTTGAGTCCTTTTGTGAATCATCAGTAAAATCGACCTCTGTTCTCCCCAGATGGTCTTAGCATCAAAATAGTAAAGGCAAAAGCACTCTGTAAACTGCAAAACTTAAGGTAACACTAACGTCATGGAGACCTGCACATTTGCTTTTGCAAAGTCATTTATCCAGGCTTATTTGGCATCTCTAGTTCCTGAAGGTGCATGATTAGTGGGCATGGGGGGAGGGTGCCTAGGGCAAGGAGGAATGTCACCCATCTGGCAGTTCCTTGGCCTCTCTCTGATTCCTTCCCCTAGGTACTCAATGCAGGAGATGTACGAGGTGGTAGCCAATGTCCAGGAGTATCGTGAGTTTGTGCCCTGGTGTAAGAAGTCTTTGGTGGTATACAGCCGCAAAGGTCACCTGAAGGCCCAGTTGGAGGTTGGCTTTCCACCTGTTGTGGAACGTTATACTTCTGCTGTTTCCATGGTCAAACCTCACATGGTCAAGGTGAGGCCTGTCTGGGAGGGATTGATCAGGAAGTTGTGTTCTCTGGCATTTTTACGTTTAAAGGCTATTGTGGCTTTCCTTGTAATGAATTTTTATCTCCACGTGCCAAATATTTCCCTAATAAAATATTAGGAGAGGAAAATGGCTTTCAATTCCTTCTTATAGCCTCCTATACCTGATACAGGTTTAATTCCATCATAATATTGTTTAACTACCTGATTGTCCTATTCTAGGCTGTTTGCACCGACGGCAAGCTCTTCAACCACTTAGAGACCATTTGGCGGTTCAGTCCTGGTATTCCTGCCTATCCCCGAACTTGCACTGTGGACTTCTGGGTGAGTCAGGGGGCTGTATAGCACAGGGCTACAATTGGGTTGTGGGGGGCTGAGCTGAGGTACTGTGACAGTTATTTCACAAGTCAATGACACTCTTCACAGGTCTGAGCTTGTATCAAACTTGTACTTTATACTCAGTCCCAGGGCCTTTGAGGGGATCTAATGAACTGGAGCGGGAGGAAAAGGCACTGAATAGTATCCTTGCATTTGGCCAGGGACTATCCAACATGGTCTTGAAGAGTTTCTGTTTCTTACCCATTCCCAGATTTCCTTTGAATTTCGTTCTCTGCTGCACTCCCAGCTGGCCACCATGTTTTTTGATGAGGTTGTCAAACGGAATGTCACTGCCTTCGAGCGCCGGGCAGCAACCAAGTTTGGTCCAGAAACAGCCATCCCCCGTGAACTGATGTTCCATGAGGTGCACCAAACTTGAGGCAAAGGATTGTTCCCTAGCCTCACCTCTCCTCTCCCTCCTCACCCAATTCTCTTATTTATTTATTTCATTTAGCTCCTGCTCCAATCTGAGAGAAGAGTCTATGTTCATAATACTGTTCTCCCACTCAAACTGGGCTCTAAGCTGGCTGGAAATGCTGGGGGAAAGAAAAGGCAGGGAAGTATGGAAAGGAATGCTTAGTATGGAAAGTGGTATGGAAGTATGGAAAGGAAAGTATGCTTAGGAAAGGGTCAGGCTCATCTTGAGAGCCCATATGCCTGATGCCTGCAACCTTCTCACACTGAATTATAATCAGGACTGTATGGTTGTCTCTGAGCTCTTGTCAAGGTGCCTTAGTGTCTGACCAGGGGAAGACAGCAACTTTTCTTAGGATTGAATAAATTGAATTCCCTTCTCTGACACAGAGCTACTGGGTAGTCAGTAACTTTGCCTGCTCTTGGGGAAGGGGCAGGACAAGAACCCTGATAAATAAAGGGATATTTGCTTA